AGGGGGGAGGAGGGTAAGGGAGGGGAGGTGAGGGACGGAGGGAGAGGAGAAAAGAGGAGGGTAAGGGAGGGGTGGAGCAGTGAGCTTACCTGATTACTTATATAGTGTGGACAGGTGTGTTGACAGGTATATAGTGTGGACAGGTGTGTTGACAGGTATATAGTGTGGACAGGTGTGTTGACAGGAATATAGTGTGGACAGGTGTGTTGACAGGTATATAGTGTGGACAGGTGTGTTGACAGGTATATAGTGTGGACAGGTGTGTTGACAGGTATATAGTGTGGACAGGTGTATTGACAGGTATACAGTGGACAGGTGTGTTGACAGGTATATAGTGTGGACAGGTGTATTGACAGGTAGTAAGTCTGGACAGGTATACAGTGGACAGGTGTATTGACAGGTATATAGTGGGCAGGTGTATTGACAGGTGTATTGATTTATAGTGTGGACAGGTGTATTGACAGGTATATAGTTGGCAGGTGTATTGACAGGTATACAGTGGACAGATGTATTGACAGGTATACAGTGGACAGGTGTATTTACTTATAGTGTGGACAGGTGTATTGACAGGTATACAGTGGACAGGTGTATTGACAGGTATACAGTGGACAGGTGGCAATTGACAGGTATACAGTGGACGGAATTGTATTGACAGGTATACAGTGGACAGGTGTATTGACAGGTGTGGAGGTAGTACAGACCTTACTGTGTATGTACACCTACCTGTGGCCGTTTCCTGTGTTGGCTGTGGAATGTTGATCGATTCAGCCTTGAACATGTTACTTCGGGGCGTTACTGTGTTACTGGGTGTTACTGGGTGTTACTGGGTGTTATTTGGTGTTACTGGGTGTTATTTGGTGTTATTGGGTGTTATGTGCTGTAACGTGAGGGAATATAATTATTTTCTTATGTACAGCGAAACCTTTATTTAACGGACTAGATCAAGAGGAATGTCCGTTATGTCGAGGGTCCGTTAGATGTGAAACGCCTCTATCTTACGGACTATCCGGTATATGGAGGGAGAAGTCCGTTATATGGAGGGAAAAGTCCGGTATATGGAGGGAGAAGTCCGTTATATGGAGGGAGAAGTCCGTTATATGGAGGTTTTTTTGTAAATATTAAGAGTCATTCAGGGATTTAGTTCAGTTTGCCCTCAGCGTAATGTACTGACTGATGACGTCACTGATCGGCTTATGTATATACAGTAGTTCAATAATAATGTATTGTTATCTTTGAGAGGGGGAGGGGGAGAGGAGGATAGAGGGAGGGAAGGGGGGATAGAGGGAGGGAAGGAGAGTGGAGGGAGGGATAGAGGGAAGGAGGGGCGTCTTCTGAACACTCTTGTGAACTAGGTGGACCCGCCGGTGTGATCTGCAATTGTTAGTTTCCTCTTCAATATGGCCGCCCACCCACACACCCCCCTACCCACATACCCCCCCTACCCACACCCACACACCCTCCTACCCACACCCACACACACCCAACATACGTAAAATACGGTTTACATTCAAATCAAACTCCTCTCTCTCTCTCTCCAACAACTCCTAAGTACAGCTCTGGCCTTGAAATAACGCACCGAATGATAAGATTAATATATTAGTCATTTTAATAAGGTTGGGACAAATGACTACGTGGTAACTGTTCACTTGGTTACTGGGGGAGGCAGGCATCATGTACTGGCCGCTGGTGTTCCGACTCTCGCACGCTGCCCTGACTTAGGCTTCCTTATTCACTTGGGGGTTTTGTTTTATTTAATTTTGTATTATTGTTATTATTTTCATTTTTATTTTTCCTTTAGTTATATCAAGATCTATTTCAAGTGAGTTTTGTCTGTGTTAATTTTGTTTGTTAATACGCTGTTATTATTATTATTATTATTATTATTATTATTATTGTTAATTGTTATTATTGTTGTTATTATTGTTTTTGTATTATTACTAGAGTTATTATTCAACATCACGTGACCCAACCACCAATAAGCACCCGCCAAGTTTGTCACGTGATCAAAAAACCCACCAATACTGAGATCTTGTTTTGGCAGACCAACATAGACCATCGTTGTGAAGGTCAGCGGTCATAGGGTAGAGGTCACCTGTTGTGTGGTGGCCCCCGTCTGTTTGTTTACCTCCACGGGCGAGGAATAACAGACGAGGTGTAGAAATGGCAGGGAAATTACGCTGAGACTCGACCTGTGTGTGTGTGTGTGCCATTTACTTACCCCAATACACTCACCTCCTACAACTACTCCACTACACCCACCTTTGAGGCATCTACACCCACCCGCTACACCCACCCTCTACACCCTCAGCTCGTCCCCTACACCCTCAGCTCGTCCCCTACACTCACCCTCTACACTGTACACACTTGCACTCTTCCGGATGTTTACTAGAGTGAAGGATGAGGCACTTAAGGAACCCCCTCACTACGACTTGACTTGACCACTTACACATGACCTCCCAAGGATGCATACCTGACTTCATATGTGGCCTTAAGTGATCCTGTGGTGTGTGTGTGATAATTTTTACAATGGTTGGGACCGGCCTGTTGTTATAGCGATCAGTTCGTGCTCGTGTGGGCTGGATGCGGTTGTGGTGTCGAACAGCAATTCTCGGACGAGGGATCTCAGGTGGTAGTAGGAGCCGGTGTCGAGGATGGTGCAGACGCTTCTCACCAAATTTGCAGATGAGGCCGTAGTGATCATGATGTATGTGTGTGTGTTTTATACTGTAATGAAATATATGTATGTAATATATGTATGTATATGGTAGTATTGAAAGTGATGATGATGATGATGATGATGATGATAATAATAATAATAATCAACGGTTTTTGAAAAAAAGTTCTGCACCCCGAAGGCTGAAAATATATATTGGACATAAATGACTTATTACATACATTGGTGGTTTAACAAAAGCTTTCATTAGAGAAAGGTAAAGGAACAAACAGTGAACATACAGATTAATGTTTACAGTGGAGGTCACGTAGATCACGTACGCTGAAGTGTTGAACAGCAGACACGTAGTGTAGTAGTTCTCTGAATCGTTGTTATGAGGACCTGACATTGAATTTAAGTAATGCTCTCACAGATGGTGTTATAGAGGACCTGACGTGGTGTAGTATACAGATGGTGTTATGGGGACCTGACGTGGTGTAGTAATTCTCTAGCAGATGGTGTTATGAGGGCTATTGACGTGGTGTAGTAATTCTCTCACAGATGGTGTTATGAGGTCCTGACGTGGGTGTAGTAATTCTCTAACAGATGGTACTTATGAGGGCCTGACGTGGTGTAATGAATTCTCTCACAGATGGTGTTATAGAGGACCATGACGTGGTCTAATGTTCCCTCACAGATGGTGTTATGAGGACCTGACATTGGTGTAATGAATTCTCTCTAGATGGTGTTATGAAAGGGACCTGACGTGGAGTGTAGTAGTTCTCTCACAGATGGTGTTATGAGGGGCCTGACGTGGTGTAGTAATTCTCTCACAGATGGTGTTATGAGGGACCTGACGTGGTGTAGTAATTCTCTCACAGATGGTGTTATGAGGGACCTGGCGTGGTGTAGTAATTCCCTCACAGATGGTGTTATGAGGGACCTGACGTGGTGTAGTAATTCTCTCACAGATGGTGTTATGAGGAACCTGACGTGGTGTAGTAATTCTCTCACAGATGGTGTTATGAGGGACCTGACGTGGTGTAGTAATTCTCTCACAGATGGTGTTATGAGGGACCTGACGTGGTGTAGTAATTCCCTCACAGATGGTGTTATGAGGGGCTGAACAAAGGGGACATTACAAAGGTACTCAAACTATCCAACCAGGAGCGAACTCGTAACAATGGTTTTAAATTAGACAAATTTAGATTTAGGCGCGAAATAGGTAAACATTGGCTTGGAAACAGAGTAGTGGACGAGTGTGTGGCCGTCAATCGTAATAACCTCTCAATAATAAAGTATTGGGTCGATTTTTTGCTGAATAGTTAAGAAAAACGATTGGTATTGAAACAGTTTATTTAGTCAGAGTAACAATAGGTCAGGTTAGGTTAGGTTAGGTCAGGTCAGGATAGGTTAGGTTAGGTTAGGTCAGGATAGGTCAGGTTAGGTTAGATTAGGTTAGGTTAGGTTAGATTAGGTTAGGTTAGGTGAGAAATAAGTGGCCATTAAAGTGGTGATTGTTGTAGCAAGTTGGAGCCGTGACTGATAATGTTGTCTTTATTTGTTTACGTGCGAGACCTGCCAGACCAAACAGTTCCCGTGTGTGTGTGTAGGTGTGTGTGTGTGTGTGTGTTAGTTGAGTGTGTAGGTGTGTGTGTGTTAGTAGTGTGTGATTATTAGTGTGTGTTAGTTGAGTGTGTGGGTGTGTGTGTGTGTGTGTTAGTTGAGTGTGGGATATGTGTGTTTTAGTTGAGTGTGTGGAATGTGTGTGTGTTGGTTGGGTGTGTGGGTGTGTGTGTGTGTAGGTGTGTGTGTGTGTGTGTGTGTGGGTGTGTGTGTGTGTGTGTGTGTGTGGGGTGTGGGTAGATCCATAAGTGCCCAGAAGATCTCATAACACTCCTTCCTCTCCTCCTCCCCTTTGACCTACATGCTTTCTCCTTCTCTCCCTCTCTCCTCAGGGCCTTTAAGAAATATTATCTTCTCTTCCCTCTCTCTCTCACCTTCTCCTTCTCCCTCTCCCCTACACTTCTCTTCTCTACTCCCATTCCCTCTATCTCCCCCTCCTCCCTCCCCTTGTCCCTCTCCTCCCCCTTCCTCTCTCTCTCCTCCTTAACTTTCCACTCTTTCCCTTCCACCTCTCTTGTCGTTCCTCTCCCTTTCTCTCCCTCCCTTCCTCCCTAACGTAGAAATCTCCCTTACCATTTACTATACACTGCTGAGTAACACCTACAGTCACATGAAATAGTTGTAGTTGTTGTTGTTATTGTTGTTGTTGTTATAATTGTTGTTATTGTTGTTGTTGTTGTTGTTGTTAATTTAATCAATATAAAAATTTTTCCAGGTGACCCAAATTATCGAAATCAGCCAATACTTACCTGTCTGGCCAGCCATCTTCACCATCAGCAAGGGTGAGTGTCTAGATGTCTGTATGTCTGTGTGTGTCTAGGGGTGTGTCTACATGTCTTGGGGTGTGTCTACATGTCTAGGGGTGTGTCTACATGTGTCTTGTGTCTAGGGTGTGTCTACATGTCTAAGTTGGCCATCTACATGTCTTTGCTAGGGTATGTCTACATGTCTGGGGTGTGTCTACATGTCTTGTGTGTCTAGGGTGTGTCTACATGTCTTGTGTGTCCCTAGGGGTGTGTCCCACATGTCTTGTGTCTAGGGGTGTGTCTACATGTCTAGGGGTGTGTCTACATGTCTTGTGTCGAGGGGAGTGTCTGTATGTCTATATATATGTCTAAGGAGGAGTGTCTTTTGTCTGTATGTCTGTGTCTAGAGTGAGGGAAGACATTAGTATTGTTTTGTTTAATTGTTTACAGGAAGACGTAACAAAGGTAAGTTTTATTAATTGTTTATTTGTTTAGGGTTAAAATGTTGTTTTTGTTATTATTATTATTATTATTATTATTATTATTATTATTATTATTATTATTATTATTATTATTATTACTATTGTTGTTGTTGTTGTTGTTGTTGTTGTTGTTGTTGTTGTTGTTGTTGTGAGTATGGCAAGTCTTGTTTTTGTATGTATGTATGTATGTATGTATGTATGTATGTATGTATTTATATGTATGCGTGTTTATGTATGTATGTGTCAGTGTACATGTCTGTATACAGTATGTGTATTGGTGTGGGTACATAAGTGTGTGCGTGCGTGTGTGCAGGGAGGGAGGGGCTGAGGGAGGAGGAGGGAGGGAGAGAGGGAGAGGAGGGTAATGCCCTTATTATTTAGGGTGTCACATCCGTCATCCTCCTCCCTCCTTCCTCCTCCTCCTCTTCCTTCCTCTTCCTCTCTCCCTTATCTTCATTCTCCATCTGTCTTTCTCTTCCCCCATGTAGAATAATATATCTCGTGTGTGTGTGTGTGTGTGTGTGTGTGTGTGTGTGTGTGTGTGTGTGTGTGTAATAATCACCGGTTATATTATAAACACAGCAGCCATAAACGGTGACCACATCAGTGTTACTTATATATATACAATGACACGGCCGGTGCGGGGACGGGGAGGAAGCTGATCTAACAAGGCTTTTAAGTACAGTTAAGGAGTGAACATGACAAGTTATGTACGAGGGGTTGTGATTAGGGAGGTGGTTGTAGACGAGGGATCTCAGGTGGTAGTAGGTGGCGGTGATGAGAAATGGTGTATTAGCAACTTTATTCTTAACTTACAGATGAGGTCATGGTGATTAGAGAGAGAGAGAGAGGCGCCCACACGCACGCCCGCTACACTCACGTACACACGCCCATGACAAACTAGTTTCCTTCCATTCGTTTCTCTATTTTTTTTAATTGGGTGTAGCGAAGGGGGTGTAGGAGAGGGTGTACCGGGGGGTGTAGGTGAGGGTGTACCGGGGGTGTGGGGTGAGGTGTACCGGGGGTGTAGGAGGTGTGCAGGGTGTGGAGTGAGGGGTGTGGTAGGAGGGTGTAGGGGGGTGTGCCAGGGGGGTGTGGGGAGAGGGTGTGCCAGGGGTGTGGGGAGGGTGTGCCAGGGGGGTGTGGGTGAGGTGTGCAGGGGTGGGGTGAGGGGTGTGGTGGGAGGTGTAGGAGAGAGGTGTACCAGGGGGTGTAGGTAAGGGTGTAGTAGGAGGGTGTAGGAGAGGTGTGCACCGGGGGTGTGGGGAGAGGGTGTACCGGGGGTGTGGGAGAGGGTGTGCCAGGGGTGTGGGTGAGGGTGTGCCGGGGTGTGGGTGAGGGGTGTGGTGGGAGTGTGGGGAAGGGTGTGCAGGGGGTGTGGGGTGAGGGTGTGTGGGGAGGTGTGGGAGGGTGTGCAGGGGTGTGGGAGAGGGTGTGCCAGGGGGTTGTGGGAGAGAGGGTGTACCAGGGGTTGTGGGGAGGGGTGCCAGGGGGTGTGGGTGAGGGTGTGCCAGGGGGGTAGGAGAGGGTGTACCAGGGGTGTGGGTGAGGTGTAGTAGGAGGTGTATGGGGAGAGAGGTGTACCAGGGGGTGTAGGAGAGGGTGTACCAGGGGGGGGTGTGGGAGAGGGTGTGCCAGGGGTGTGGGAGAGGGTGTGGAAAGCCCCAGGCGCTTTCTCCTGCCTGAGTTTCACTTTCATGTTGGTGTGTGTGTGTGTGTGTGTGTGTGTGTGTGTGTGTGTGTGTGTGTTATGAGGACCAGAGGAGGAGGAGAAGAAGAGGAAAAGGAAGGAGATGGAGGAGGAGGAGGAGAAGAAGAAACAGGAGAAGGAGACTAGTAAGACAACACAGGCTTCAGTATTAGAAGGACTTAACTTAACGTTTCCTAAATCAAGATAAATAAGAATAATAAAGAGTTTGGAATACAACCTCCACTACCTCCTCCCTCCCTTACCCTCCCTCTAGTCTTGTCTCTCCTCCCTTACTCTCCCTCTAGTCTTGTCTCTCCTCCCTTACCCTCCCTCTAGTCTTGTCTCTCCTCCCTTCCTTACCCTCCCTTACCCTCCCTCTAGTCTTATCTCTCCTCCCTTCCTTACCCTCCCTTCCTTACCCCCCCTCTAGCCCTCCCCAAGCTCCTAGCACCAGAGACGTTATCCAGTAAATAATTCTCTCCCCACTATTATTTAACCCTTCACTCACGCTATCCCTGCTTCACCTGTAGAGCATTACGTCATAGAGGGGGGAGGGAAGGGGGTTGAGGGAGGGGGAGAGAGGGGGAGGGGAAGGTTTTTAAATATTAGGTGACATAAGCCTCGGCCGCCACACCGCCGTCAACTGAATGTGAAAGCTGCGAGACACTGCTACCACCGAACTCCACCAACTTTCACTGTAAATTACTGTACCTCCCCTCCCCTCCTTCCCTCTCCCCTCCTTCCCCCTCCCCTCCTTCCCCCTCCCCTCCTTCCCCCTCCCCTGCCCCCTCTCCCTTCTCTCCTAGCCTGCAGGCATAGTCGATTATCATAGTCTTTTTCACTGATATTTTCACCTTTATGGCTCTATACACCATCACGTGAGAGAGATAGTAGACCTTATGGTGTTGTGATCTAAGGTTTAAAGGCACATAACACTATATTATCACAGCCAGATGTGTACATAGAGGCGAAAGTCTTATTCCTAACTCAGGTCATTGTCACCTCTGTGCTTTATACTCAATAGAGGGAAAGAAGGTATTATTGGCGCGGCACATTTTACGCGGGAATGATCTTAATGGCGCAGTGATGTAGGGGTGATAATGGCCCGTCTCTGTACAGTCTCTTGTGTTTAGTGGCGTTTGGGAGAGAGAACGCCGGGAGAGAGAACTGAAGAACGCCGGGATGGGGGAACTGAAAGGAACGCGGGGATAGAGAACTGAAGGGAACGCCGAGATTGAGACTGGGGAACGCTGGGATAGAACGAAGGGAACCTGGGAGGGCTGAAGAACGCCGGGAGAGAACTTGTCCTAAAATGAGAGGGGGGGTGGGAGAAGAGAAGAGAAACCAACACCTGTCTCGCAGCAGTCGCAAATAAAAGGTGTTGATTCATTCTTTGAGGTGCGTTAAATTCTCTCTCTCTCTCTCTCTCTCTCTCTCTCTCTCTCTCTCTTTCTCTCTCTCTCTCGTAGGTCAACTATAACCTGCTCAGTTAGTACAGACTTCATCCACCAGTCAGGTCAGTTGAGGCATTTATTGTGTGAGCCGTAACGTGGACGACCTGGCGACTCATGAACAACTCACTACGACCCATGAACGACTCACTACGACCCATGAACGACTCACTACGACCCATGAACGACTCACTACGACCCATGAACGACTCACTACGACCCATGAACGACTCACTACGACCCATGAACGACTCACTACGACCCATGAACGACTCACTACGACCCATGAACGACTCCACTACGACCCATAAACGACTCACTACGACCCATGAACGACTCCACTACGAGACCCACAACGACCCCTACCATGACCCATGAACGATCTGGTGTAGGTGTGTCGATATTTTGCCTCCGTATTACTGCTCACTTTCTGATTGTACACTTCTGGAGATTCACCCATTATTCTTCCTCCTTCCTCCCTCCCTCCCTTTCACCCTTTATCCCTCACCCTCCCTCCCCCCCGTTAACGCAGATGTGGTTGTGTCTGGCATATGCAGAGCGCACCTAGTCAGTGGTGGTGGTGACGCAATGACTCTTACGTGTGTGTGTGTTTGTGTGTGTGTGTGTGTGTGTGTGTCCTGATAGATAGATGGATAGATAGATAGATGGATAGGTAATGTGTCCTCAGGGGAAAAGTTGAATTGGGTCCAGTAAATTAATCTCACTGTCTTGGGAAATTGTTTGAAAGTCTTGGTAAGTTATTGTTTGCTTGGGGAATTGTTTTGGGAGATGGAGAAATATGAGAGATAGTAGCTCTCTCTCTCTCTCTCTCTAATATTAATGACATATTAGTAATTGAAATAATGATATGAATAAGATGATAATAACTCATCAAAACAACAACAACAACAATCATTAAAACAACAACAACAACAATCATCAAAACAACAACAATCATTAAAACAACAACAACAACAATCATTAAAACAACAACAACAACAACAATCACAACAACAATCATCAAAACAACAACAATCATCAAAACAACAACAATCATTAAAACAACAACAACAACAATCATCAAAACAACAACAATCATTAAAACAACAACAACAACAATCATTAAAACAACAACAACAACAACAATCACAACACCACCTCAGTTATAATTAGCGACTCTTAATTTAGCGATTTTCTTAACCACTTTATTAAACAGGATATAATTTAGCGATAAACCTCACCTGCCTCGTACCGTTAACATCCGGCAGGTGTTGCGTATGACAGGTGAGTAATGACGCTAATTACAGGTGTTAAATGAAGTGATATATTAAACGGTAAATTTTGCGGTGACTATATTTGGCGATGGATTAATTTTGGCGGGTATTATTGGCGATGGATTAATTTTGGCGGGTA